CACTGTACAACAAGGGTAAACCCGGGATCGCTATAACGTCCGACCCAAACTTGAGCCCAGGCCCAGACTCGTTGGCCCGTCCTGAGGCCCGGCCTGCCCAAGACCTGAATACTCTATTGGACTTGGGCCTAGGCCTAATTTTCTATCCCGTAGGTTAGCCCGTCCCGTCCCATCCCAACCCAAATTTTGACGAGAGCTCGAATAGCCCAACATGGGCTAGCCCGAGCCCGAGCCCAGATGAGCCAAGCCGGGCCCAATTTACACCCATAGAGCTAGTCAAATTTTGTTCACTTTTTGTATTGCCACGTCATTCGGATAATTGAGTCGAAAGAATCGGGTCGAATAATGGGGGTGTTTGGTGGGGCTTTTTTGAGCCAACTTATGGCTTCTGGCTTTTAAAAAGTTATTTTGTACTGTTTGGTTAAACTTATTTCAAACAACTTCTGATTCTAACAACTTATTTTAAGTCAAAAAAGCTGATTCTGAGAAGCTGTTCACCCCTTACTTCTGATTATCAGCTTCTGCTGTGGACATGTTAATCCACGGTTATACTCTTAAATTTTTTTTTTTTTTAAAAAAATAGAAAAAAAAAACCCAAATAGATTATAAAATATTATTATTATTTTTTACGAGAAATATAGACAAATAGTGAATAATAAAAAATAAAAATTAATTGAGAAAGCTACTTCACAACTTATTTAACAAACACTACTCAGCAACTTAAATCTATAATCCAACAGTTATACCAAACAGATTAACAGTTTTTGATTAAAGTCATAATCTATAATCTATTAAGTTATAATTTATAATCTGTTTTAACAGGTACACCAAACAGCACCAATATATAAAATTGTCACGTATGACAAACTCAAATCTGGGCCGTTAAAATAGTCAAAAAATCAAACGGCTAAGAAAGGCTTTAGGAGCGAATCAGAATAATCGTCTGGTAGATTCGACCAAAAAAAAAAAAAAAAGTATAGTTCGTAGTCTCCTTTGAGGACCTACGGCGGAGATATCAACCCGGGACACACAGAGAGGAGGAGAGAGAGAGTGTGTTTTTGTCTTTTTGACTCTAATCTCACTCGAAAATTTTCTCATTTCTTTTTCAATTTGTTCAATTTGATTGAGATCTCTGAAAGGTAATTGCTTCTTCTTCTTCTTTTTTTCCCTGTATAATCTTTGTAGATTTTGATCTATATTTCTTGAAATTTGTATCATAATGTGATTCTTGTAGATTTGTATCTTCGGATTTATGATTATCGTTTATTAGTTTGTTCTTATCGATTTTTTGTTTTGAATTGCACATTTTGATGTAATTTTTTTTTTCTCTTCTATTTATTAGATTTGTGAAGTTTAACTTTTCTGCTAGTTATATAATCTATATTTACAGTTTGCTGATATGGTTGTTGTCAATGCATATGATGATGATTTTGAGGTTTAAAGTTTTGAAGTTTTGGATTTTTCTTCAAGACAAACACAGATTAATGTCGTTACCTAAGTTTGATTATTAATAAATATAGAATTGAACTATCAAAGTAGGTTGGCTGGAGTGGAGTAGTGTTTTTTGCGTATTATTATATTATATATCAATACCTACAAAATTTAAAGGAAAATTTTATACAGTAAGGTGGATGATGCTTTATGGGACAAAAAATATAGTATGCCCATAATAATTGCTCCCTTTTATTTGCATTCAAATTTCAGTGCTTTGCTTCTCTATTACTCATGGATTGCCCACGACCAATCAAGCTTTGATGGAAATATTTTAGATGCCCTTTGACTATGTGACTGGATTACATGGGACTATTAGTCTCAACCCTCTCGTGATTAATAATTATGCGATCATCAATCTCATAGAATTATGTATCATATCTCACGTTTAGAATACCTTTGAATTAGGAAGAAGATTAGTAATCTCATGTTTATTTGGAATCACTTGGACTACATGGAGTAATAACCATAGTTTGAGGATATTTTGGTTAAAAACCCCCTAATCTGGATCTCTTTGATCCTCTCATTTTGTATCTCACTCCTCCATTGGACTCAGTAGTCCAAATATGGAGATATACAGTTTGAGGAACTGTTAATCTTAAGGCTCACTTTTGATCCAAACATCAGATTTGGATTGGCACGACACATTTTGCTTGACATAGCAACGTCTCTCTCCTTGTGACTAGATGCATGCGTACTCTACTACTGCTTGTGTGGTAATTCGTCAACAACAATAGGAGTTTTTTTTTTTCCTTTTAAAGAATTTTAAGGCAGAAATGTTGCTCAAATTAAAGCCCTAGGTAATTCTCTCTCTAGCAGCCCTCCAATAAGCACCTTTGGTAATTCTCTCTTTCTGTCTCTTGTCGGGTTTTCACTTTTCTGTTTAATGTGGTGTTTCAGATTTGCCTTTTTGAGTAGCCATGTGAATGACTTTATAAGGTTTTATTTCATAGCTTGGCTTAGTTAGGGGGCATAAACTAATTTCGAACCAAATATGGTCCTCGATCAAGGTTTTTTTTGTAGGACTCTTTGTTTCACCATCAATTGTTTCCCAAACAGCTTTGGACATTTCCCTTCTCTTTCTGTATCTGTATGTGTGTGTGTTCATGTATATACCTAGACATATAGAACAAGATTTATATATATGTGTGTTAAAATTGCCTCCCGAATAACCGAATGGAACAAGGATACACAGTTGCCGTTTGGTCCAGACAGAGGCACAAACTAAAGAGAGAGAGAAATAATCTCTCAGACTCTCTCCGAATCAGTTTGAGGGTAAAGAACTGTTACCTTTCTCTGTTCCTTTGTTAAATTGCTTCGGATATAAGTATAATAATTTTATTCTTATTATATTTGTTATATTTATTTTCATTAAATTTATTTTTAATCAATTTTAAAGGCACTTTACACATTCAATATCAAAATTGTTTATACCTACACTATATGCATCATTGAGAAATGTATAGGTTGGACTGGCCAGTACTATAGTACTGTGATGGTAATTTATAGTAATGGAGCTTGTTGGAGTCTTTGCCATGAGCCTCTTAGGTCATGTACAGCCTTGACTCCAATTTTTACTGGTAGTGAAGTTATTCTGTTTTTTTTTTTTTTTTTGACAACCTTGTCTTCTTTTTTTACTGTTAGTAAAATTTTTCTGTTTTTTTTTTTTTTTTCCCTTTTTTTGGTCCTGTTTTGGTTTTTCTTGTACCATCAGTTTCAGTTTTTTTTTTTTTTTTCCTTTTTTTGATTGTTTGTAACATTTGTACATCTGAGGTTCATTTTGTGTTTTTACAATAATTTAAACTGGTTGAATAATATTCTTTAATTCAAGTGGTTAATACATCAATTTTTTGACAAATAAGTTTATTTTTGTGATTTTTTATATCTAAATTCTATTAATGACATGGTAACTGCATTTGTGCTGATTGCATGTATAATCCAGCCCACTTTTGTGTCCAAACGTGGTTTTCAGGATTGGCCATGATACATAATCCAATCTCATGACCCTATCCCCTTGAACAAAAACAGCCTTTGTGTTTATATGAATATTTAAGTGGAGTTGAGTTGATAACAAACTTGTAGTACAGTGGGGATGAGTATTCATGTATCATGCAGATGACTTGGGTTCAATCCATGACGACGGTGTTATCATTTTTATATTTTTTTTACATGGCAACATGAATCTGCACGTGACTGGATGTGCTCTATTACTGCTTGTGACACAAATGTATTTTGTTGAACAACAAATAGGTTTTCGACCTTCTCAATTATTTTTAAGCAGAAATGTCGCGCAACTTAAAAGTGTAGGTAATTCTCTCTGTAGCAGCTCCTCCAGTAAGGCCCTTTGTTTATTCTCTCTTTCTCTCTCTCACGCCCGCTCGGGGTTTTCTCTATTCTGTTTTATGTGGTACCCTATGAAGCACGAATACTCTAAAAATGGTGTCATACGAGTACCGGGTACTTACTGGGTGTGGGTATACATACCGGTACGGCAGTACGCATACCGGGTATGTTGAATACATACCCGGGTACGACAAATACATTTTGGTGCGGCGAGGTGAATTTTTTTTTGTTGCAGCTGTTAGAATTAATTGCAACCTTTATTATTCTTTTTTCAATTTTGAAAATATTAAGTAATTATTTTTAACACTTTTTATCCATGAGTCATGGTTTTGCTCTCTCTTGCATCCTGTTTTAGACAGTAAAAAAAAAAATAAAAAATTATATAACTTTTTAGACAAGTTGTTTTCTTTTCAGTTTTGATATTGAAACTTTGATTTGTATGTTAGACGTTTAACTATAATTTAATTAAAAAAATTGACGTATCCAACCGTACCTGCACCCTACTTTTTTTAATAATTTTTCATATTGATGTACCTGTATCTGTATTCGTATCCGCACCTGTGCTCTATGTTACACGGACTCGGGTACGAGTATCGGGTGCGGGTGCGTATCTAGGGATCGGACACTTCAAAATTAAAAATTAAGGATACGTAGATATGTATCCAAATTTGGATACGGGTACGGGGATACGTTAAATAATTTTTAAAAAATATATATATTTATTATAACGGGGACACAGGACACAACAATTTTTGAAAGATGGAGATACAGACACGACAGGAGACACGGCAAATTTTTTAATTTTTTTATAAATATTTTTATTTTAATATACATTAATTATTTAATTAATTTATTATATTTTTTAAACAATGTGTTCTAATTAATTTTTTTTATTTTATTTTACATACATGTGTTTATTTTTCTTATTAATATATATAAGTATATATTATCTTATAAATATATTATATGTTATATAATAATTATTATATAATATATAATAATAATAGTTATTATTATATATAATAATAATAATAATAGTTATTATTATAGTTATTAACTATTATTATTATTATTATATATTATTATAGTTATTATAATAATAGGTAGATATACGAATAGAAGACAGAGATATGATCGAGAGAGAGATTGAGAACAGTACGGGAGGGAAAGACAGATCGAGAGAGAGACAGAAGAGGAGATCGGGAGAAGAGGAGAGATCGAGAGAAGAGGAGATCGAGAGACGAAAGAACAGGAGAGATCGAGAGAAGAGGAGATCGAGAGACGAAAGATCAGGAGACGAGATCAAGAGTGAAGGATCGATTGGGGTGAGATCGAAGCCTGCGACTAGAGAGAAGTCGGCAACCAGGTTCTTGCTCTCTCCTCTTTCCTTTCTTCTGTATTTAGGGCTATTTCGTTGCTTCTGTATTTAGGGAAAAACATAGCTGTATCCATTTGTGATGAGCCATATCCCGGCCGTATCCCGCACCTGTACCCGTGTCGTGTCGTGTCGACACGGGTACCTCCGAAATTTCAAAGAGTCCGTGTACAAATTGCCTCTTTGAGTAGCCATATGAATGACTTTATAAGGTTTCATAGCTTGGCTTAGTTAGGGGGCATAAATTAATTCGAACCCAAATCTGGGTCTTCAACTAAGGCGTTTTTGAGGGGACTTCCTGTTTTACTGTAATTGTCCTCCAAGCAGCCTTGGACATTTCTCTTCTCTATATGTATATGTGTGTGTGCATATGTATACCTAGACATATAGAATAAGATTTGTATATATAGATATAGAGGTTAAAATTTAATTTTGAATAATGGAGCAAGGATTTTTAGGGTTTTCTCTTTCCAGTTAAATGTGGAGTTGAAAATTACTTCTTTGAGTAGCCATATGAATGATTTTATAAGGTTTCATAGCTTGGCTTAGTTAGGGGGCATAAATTGATTTGGACCCAAATCTGGTCTTCAGCTAAGGCCTTTTTGAGGGGACTCTGTTTCACCACCAGTTGTCCTCTAAGCCACCTTGGATATTTTCTTTCTTCTCTTTCTCTATGTATATGTGTGTGTGTGTGCATTTATACCTAGACATACAGAGCAAGATTTATATATATATGCACTAAAATTGCCTCCCGAATGACTGGATGGAGCGAGGATTTGTAATGTTTTCTGCGCTTTTTGAGTGGCCATATGAATGACTTTATTGGGTTTCATAGCTTGGCTTAGTTATGGGGCATAAACTAGTTCATACCCAAATTTGGGTCTGCTAACTAAGTCTTTTTTGAGGAGATACTATGGTAGCGTTTGGTAGAGTTTTAAAATTATGATTTGAGAATAGTGTTATATTTTGAGTTTGTAAGTTTTGGAATTATGATTTGAGTGTGAAAAATTTGTTTGGTTATGAGTTTTGAATTGAGTTTGAAATGAACGATGTGACATATAATATTTGATTAAAAAACTTACAACTCATAATCAAACACACAACCTAAAATTCTATTCAAAGTTGATAAAAAAATTTAAAAAAATTCTAAAGATATTTTTTATTTAAAATATAAAAATAATAGGTGCAAAAAAAAAATAAAAAACAAACACTGTTTCTGTCAACCGGCTGGACGTCTAGGGGGACAACCCGGTGGATGACCGGGTAGGCGAGTTTTCAAACACGGGTGTGGAAATGATTTTTGAAACGCGGAACCAAATGTCGCATTCAAATCAGTGGGTGGAATTATGATTTGAGAGCCCCACCAAACACAGCCTATGTTTTCCTCCAAACAACCTTGGCAATTTCTCTTCTTTTTCTGTATGTGTGTGTGTGTGCAAGATCTATAGAGATATATAGGTTAAGCTTGCCTCCCAAGTAACTCAATGGAGCAAGGATTTGTATGGTTCTATCTTTTCTGTTTAATGTTATGCTGCATATTGCCTGTTTGAGTAACCATATGAGTTAGTTTATAGGGTTTCATAGCTTGGTTTAGTTAGGGGGCATAAACTAATTCGGACCCAAATTTGGGTCTTCAACTAAGGCCTTTTTGAGGGGACTCTATGTTTCACCACCATATTGTCCCCCAAACAGACTTGGACATTTCCCTCTTCTCTTTTCATATTTAGATGTGTGCATGTGTACATATATATACCTAGGCATATAGAACAAGGTTTACATAGATATATAGGTTAAAATTGCCTCTCGAATAACTGGACGGAGCATGTATACACAGCTGTCGCTCGGTCCAGACAAAGGCACAAAATGAGAGAGAGACTCTCTCTCTCTCTCTCCAAATCAATTTGAGGATAAGGAACTGTTCCATTTCTCAATTTCTTTCCTAGATTGCTTCGGATATATATATTTTCATCTGTAAAAAGTTTGTTCTTACTATATTTATTGTTGAACAATTGTAAAGGATACTATATGCATTCAATATCAAAATGATTTCTTCCTCTACATTATATGCATCAGTGAGAAATACATAGATTGGACTGGCCAATACTATAGTACTGTGATGCTTATTGATAGTAGTGAAGCTTATTGGAGGCATTTTCATGGGCCTTTAAGGCCGTCTCCCCCATTTACTCCTGTTTTTACTCAGATTTGAGTAAAAGCTTCGTTTGATATAGGATGCTCCAATAGTCAAACTCAGATTTGAGTAAATGCTTGGCAAGTGTTATGATTGTTAAATTTTGAAGTGGACATGTCACCACCACAAAGTTGTCTTTAGAAATTCGAGTAAAATAAGTCTCTTGATTTGAGTTAAAAATTGAGTATAACAAGTTTAAGTAAATGTTGGAGAGAGTTGTTTAAAGGTTTTACTCAAATTTAAATTTGATCTGGGTAGATGCAAATCATGACTTTAGTTCAAATTTGAGTTAAAAACAGTTTAAACCAGTCTTGGTATTTCTCTCAAACCCATACTGAATTGGGTTTCTCATTTTTCACCCACATAAAGGGAGAAATTTTTGCAAACTCAAATCCTAACAGTAATATTTGGTGACATGCCAACATTATTTAATTACCCGTGTACCACCCCAGATGCTTTAACTGAAACTATAAAACTTATGTGACTTCAATTCTAGAACTGTTCTAGAAACAACTCTGACATAGGATACTCGTGTGGTTTCTTTATGGTTATGATGTCTAATTCTCTGTAAATTATTTCCCTAACTAAAGCCTCGTTTGGCAACAGGCCGGTTTAGCCAAAAAATCAAAAAGTTACTAAAAAAGCCAAAAAGCCAACAACCCATACCAAAAAGTCAAAGATTCTTTTTTCTTTCTACTTTTTGCACATCTTTTCGTAAAAAGCCAAAAAGTCATCCTAAACATACTAGTTTTTTTTAGCTCATATTTTAGCCAAATAGCCAAAAAGTTACTAAATTAGCATGTTCCCAAACGAGGCCTAAACTCCCATTTTTGCTTTCATGTGATGATCAAATTATCATTTGTTAAACTTGTATAATGTTTGTTTTCTTCCTTTTGTGATTCATTTCATTTGAATGCATTTGAAATAGAGTTATTCTTTTTATTTATTTTTTTTCTGTTTTGGTAGTTGTCTTTATCTTGCCCCGTCCCATTAGTTTCATTTTCTTATCCTTTTTTTATTGTTTGTAACATCTTTACATTTGAGGTTCAGTATGTGTTTTTGCAATAATTTAAGCTGATTAAATAAGATTCTTTAGTTCAAGTTGTCGGTCAGTACTTTGACACTTTTGACTTATTTTGGATTTTTTAATTATTGAGTTCTAAATTCTAATGATTGGCATGGTGGTTGCATATGTGCTCTTTGCACCTTTTTTTCTATTCCTTATGTTTTGTTTTAATTTCCATTTTCATTATGCTTTTCTCTTATTGTTGGAGCTGCAAAACAGGTTCAATTCTTTTGTTTATCTATATGAGTCTCCCCCCTTTTTACCTAAATGAACTTGAAATTTTCTGTGTAAGTGTCACTAAAGTCTTTTCTATTGTAACTGATTCTTGTGTCTTTGATTCCTATCCCCAACTTTGGTATGTGGCTTATATAATAATCTATCCATTATTTCTTGATTTGTATAATTATTTAGTAGCTTATGTTTTCTCTTGCGACCTTCATGTGGGAATCAGAATTCTATTGCTTCCAATGTGAAGCATGCTTTCAATGTTCTAGGTTTTGATATTTTTTATTACCTATTGAATGCTTTTATTGCCAATGATATATTGATTTATTTGTTTAAAATTTGATGCTTCAAGTTTCTAACCTTGGAATATTGTATCATCTATGTCAGCTGTAAATGGATGTGTGATATACATTTGTGAACTTCAACTTATACGTAAATGGAACTGGAGGTTTCTGTACCTTGACTCATTATTTTGTTACGCATTATTTTAGTATCAGTCTCTTGTCTAATTCTGATTGTTCACTGTTTATTTGCAATTCACACTCGGGCATATCAAATATTGTATGGTTATGAACTGGAGTACTATAAATTGTGCTTTTTTTTTTCCAGCTTCATTAATTATAAAGCCTGTGAACCAATGGCGTACATGTTTGCATGTTTAAGTATGCTCAGGTGTTGTTATTCTTATGGGAAACAACAGAGGATCAACTATTGTGAAATTTATGTTGAATCTCGCCCAGTTTAGCTTAGCTTATTAAATTCTGATATCTGGTCAAATATTCTACATACAAGACACTGATAGTCTTCTTGCTTGACAGAGTGCAAGATGGCAGCAACATCCGCAACTACATTTTTAGTCAGATCAACCATGTCCTTAGGCTCCAAAGTGAGCCCAATTTCACAACCAAAGGCTTTTGGTGTGAGATTCAACTCCAAGAATTGTGTCAAGAGCTTCAATGGTCTCAAGGCAGCAACTTTCGGAAGCTGTGAATCAGACTCATCCTTCTTGGGCAAGGAAAGCAGTGCAGCTCTTAGAGACTCCTGCACACCAAAAGCTCAGAAACAATACCAGAGATCTTGGAAGAACCCTCAACCCCAGGCATCTTACAAAGTGGCAGTTCTTGGAGCAGCTGGAGGGATCGGTCAGCCGCTAGCACTTTTGATCAAAATGTCCCCATTAGTTTCAAATCTTCACCTTTACGATATAGCAAATGTCAAGGGAGTTGCTGCTGATCTCAGTCACTGCAACACCCCGTCTCAAGTTTTGGACTTCACAGGAGCTTCTGAGTTGGGCAATTGTCTCAAAGGTGTTAATGTGGTCGTCATCCCCGCTGGAGTTCCTAGGAAACCGGGTATGACCCGTGATGACCTCTTCAACATCAACGCCAACATAGTGAAGACCTTGGTTGAGGCTGTTGCTGATAACTGCCCCGATGCCTTCATCCACATCATCAGCAATCCAGTTAACTCTACGGTTCCCATTGCAGCAAAAGTTTTGAAGCAGAAAGGTGTTTATGATCCGAAGAAGCTCTTTGGTGTCACTACTCTAGATGTTGTGAGGGCAAACACGTTTGTCGCTCAGAAGAAGAATTTGAAGCTTATTGATGTCGATGTCCCAGTTGTGGGTGGACATGCTGGAATTACTATTCTACCCCTTCTATCAAAGACAAAGCCCTCTGTTAGTTTCATAGATGATAAAATACACGAGCTAACTGTGAGGATCCAAAATGCTAGGACAGAAGTTATGGAAGCAGAGGCCGGTGCGGGGTTTGCTACCCTGTCGATGGCATGTGCGGCTGCAAGATTTGTGGAGTCCTCTCTCCGTGCTCTTGATAGAGATAGCGATGTCTATGAGTGCTGTTTCATCAAGTCTGATCTGACTGAGCTTCCATTCTTTGCATCAAGGGTCAAGCTAGGAAAGAAAGGGGTTGAGGCAGTGATTTCTTCGGACTTCCAAGGATTGACTGAGTATGAGCAAAAGGCTCTGGAAGCCCTCAAGCCGGAACTAAAGTCCAGCATTGAGAAGGGTATCGGGTTTGCACAGAAGCAAACGGTGGCTGCATAATAATTGAATAGCTGAAACCACCCCAAAGAAAGAAGAATAATGCTGTAGTAGAGATCAAATGTTGTTGAATCCATTGTTAACTCCATCGTTAACGTGGGTATATTGCAGTTTTGTAGACAACTTGGGAAGTTTTTTTGCATTTACTGTTTTGTTGTGTTGGAGTACTTTTGTTAAAGAGAAATGAGGAGTGGGTACACTAGAAGTGTTGTATAACTTCAATAAAACTTTGGTTCTCATCGGCCACGTGCTGTACTTGGATTGTTTACCAAAAACTTCGTTGATGCATTATAACACCGATAATCTTGATATCTGTGGAAGAAATCTTTTATTCCCCTCTGCGGGTTGCTTTCTACTTTCAATCAAGTGATGTGCTTTTTCTTTTTCATTCTTTTTTTATTGTTGTGTTACATAAGTTTACAAATGGGGATTAAGTTTTTGAATTCTTTGTCGTAAGCTTTTCAAGATGATGAACACAATTCAGCTGAAGACTTGTTCACTTCCTGTATTAGATTGGTGATTTTACTTTGTCCTCGGTTCTAGTGGCATTACTTGGGTAGGCAAGCAGTGGTCAAATTCTATTAACACAACCTTCTACTCGTCTTCGTAATTATATCATTGGTTCCACTGCTTTTTCTACTCATGAACCTACCTCCTATTGTGAGGCTTGCTCTAATCCTCTTTGGCAGCATGCTGTGACTGATGAATTGCAGGCTTTAGACAAAACTCATACTTGGGACATTGTTGATCTTCCTTTTGGCAAGACTGCCATTGGCTGCAAATGGGTGTACAAAATCAAGGCACACTCTGAAGGCTCTATTAAAAGATACAAAGCCTGCCTTGTTACTAAAGGCTTCAACCAGGAATATGGTATTAATTATGAGGAGACCTTTGCTCCTATTGAATGTTTGACCGCTGTTCGTAGCTTGATTGCTGTTGTTGCCACCCGTCAATGGGACCTTTATCACACAGACGTGAAAAATGCATTCCTTAATGGTGATCTTCTAAAGGAGGTCTACATGCAACCTCCCCTTAGGTCTACTTATCCGCCTCATAAGGTATGTAGACTTCAACGTGCATTATATGGTTTTAAGCAAGCCCCGCAAGCTTGGTTTGCCAAGTTCAGCTCTACAATTCATGATTGTGGTTTCACCTCCAATTTTTATGATACTACTCTTTTTGTGAGGAAAACTGCTCAAGGTACCACCCTACTTCTGCTTTATGTGGATGACATGATTATCACTGGTGATGATGTGGATGGTATTCTTCGCCTCAAATAGTTTCTTAGCCATCATTTTGAGATGAAAGATCTTGGTCCTCTTAGTTATTTCTTGAGTCTTGAAATCTCTCATGATTCCATAGGTTCGTTTCTCTCTCAAGCTAAGTATACCTTCGATCTTCTCGTTCGTGCTGGTCTTATAGATTACAAGACTGCCTTCACTCCATTAGAGACTCAGAGTCATCTTACTTCTCTTGATGGCAATCTATTCTCTGATGCTACTATGCATCGTCAACTGATTGGCAGCCTTATCTATCTCACTGTTACTCGTCCTGACATCGCTTATGTTGTCCATATTGTCAGCCAGTATATGTCGGCTCCTCATATACCTTATTATGATGTTTTAGTTCGTATCCTTTGCTATCTCAAGCTAGAGAGAAGGGAGAGAGAGTTTGGGTGTAAGAATTCCTTACAAAGTGTTCGTCTGTTGCGTATGGGGGGCGCAGACATGCTTATATACCTTCTGAGCCCCATATCTACTCCCAGTCATCTCCTGTCACGTGTCTCTACTATCCCATCTGTCAGCATAAACCATGCCATTCATCACCTAACCTCAACTGCCTGTCATCACAGCTAGAGCTCGGCAGCCGAGCTGCTCTACCTCGGTCATGCCATGCTTCATACTTCAAGCGCCTAACCGGATAAACACACGGAGGACTGGGCTAGGCGGCATCCCGGCTGAGCCTACCCCGGATACTTTGATCGGCCTTCCTGTCGGTCAAACAGTCTCCTCGGCTGACCATGCCTTTCCGGGCATCGGTCACTCAACTTCCTCGGTTGCCCACGCCTTCCCGGGCGCCGGTCACTCGGCCAATCGAGCTTTGGCCATCTTCGGACCGAGCATCCTGGTCCGACCGAGCACTGCCTTACCGAGCAGTTTCTGTCCGGTCTGGGGTGACACACTCAGCCCGAACTCTGCTCGGCCCAAGTCTGGGCAGAAAGTCGATCATCTCGGACCCACGCATCGTTGGGCCCTCAACTTGCTCGGCCGTTACCTCGGCCCAACTCCAGATCACAAATCACCCTCTCAAGTAGTATAATAAATTTGACATAATTATACTAACCATAATTTTAGTGACTAAAGAAATGAAAACTAATACAAATAGTATAAAGACATAATGATAAACAAAGTAATACATTTTAGTGTAAAAGAGAGAATGTTATTTTTTTCATCAATTTGACTAGTGAATTATGGATATGAATTGTAACTTTAAAGAAATGTAATTATGTTAAATTTGTAAAATTATTATATTTTTTTTCTAGATCTTAAGAAAGGTTCATATAATTTACTCAAAAATAAATAAAATCGTTGACATTTTTTTTTTTTTTTTCAAATTGCAAGACCTGATATTTAAAATTCATGAAATTAGAGTTTTTCAAGACCATTTTGTCCCCTCTCTCTTCCTTCTCTTTGTCAAAACCCTAATAAGATTTCCTCCAACAAATTCCTTACCGCCACTCATCACCACCCTTTTTTTTTTTGATAAGCAAAGAGAATTTTATTGATGAAGAAAGCAGAACAAGCAAAAAACAAACGTCAATAAAGAGGGAAGTGCAAAAGCATCACCGCTAGCCTTAACCATCCCAACTAGGTTGGCACCGCAAAGGAAGCAAAATCATCTGCTAGCACTTGACCCAAGATTGGCGAGAAACCAATCAAAGGAAAGCAAAAAAAAGGGAAAAGAAAAAAGAAACCCAAGCTTGATACAATCCACCTAAAGCAACATGATACAATCCACACACCAGCAGCTACAGCAAAATGATAAATCAGACCATTCCTCCTGCAGAGCATATCAGACCAGCATCACTATCAATCTGCATGTGCAACATCACAGCATCTGCAACTGTTGCCAAGAAGAGCATGGAGATGGATGATGGACTGCTCAAAAACCAAACCAATGCTATGAGGACACAACCAGGCAGAGACCCAACCAGGCACTAAACATGAAACAACAATGAGCAAAAATCTTCAAACTGATACAACCCAAGCATTGAGCATCACTATCAATCTGCACACTAGAGCACACAGCTGCAAATCAGACCAGCCAAACACCTATGTGCATCTGCAACAGCAAACAATAAAATTCTTCAAACTGATACGAATCCATCAGACAGATCAGACCAGCATCAGCCTTCCAAAAAAGCAGACCAACAGTGAAATTCCAAGGGAGCACACTGGGGCACACAAAGCAAGCAACCAGACTCTTAGAGCACACAGCTGCAGACCAACACACAGAGCAGAACACAGAAGCAAAACAGAACACAGAGCAGAACACAGAAGTCAAGTGCCCCAGAGGCAGAACACAGAAGCAGAACACACACACAGAGCAGTTGACAGAAACAAAAATCATCAGAGGCACCTCCTGGTCTGGTTGAAGTTAAATATAAAATCATGGATGGAATAAGAGCAAGAGTTCCCAATAGAGTGACTCTTCAACCAAATGGCAACTCGAATCTTGATAAGCTCACAAAGCTGCAGGGAGTTAGGTTGAGCACTATTAAACACACAGTCGTTCCTGAGCTTCCAAATTGACCATAAAACAGCAAGTGGTAAGGCTCTCCATATTTGGAGTTCCTTCTTTCTGATTTTGGTGCCACTCCACCAATCAAGTAAGGCCACCACAGAGCCCGGGCATACCCAGAGAAAACCCCACCAATCTATAATGTCAGACCAAATTTTCCAGGTAAAGGGGCAAAGGAGTAAAACATGGTTAAGGGACTCAGGTTCTTCTCTGCAAAAGTGACAATGAGTAACGGCCTCGCCTCTAAGAACGCCAATGCTATGAAGGAACACAGATGTTTTGATTCTGCCTTTCCAAGCCAGCCAAGAAAAAAATTGAACTTTTGGTGGTGCGATGTTATTCCAGATAAGTTTAGGCATGGACACAACTGGACCTCTATTAGACTGCAACCAACAGAATAAGTCACATGATCTAAAGGCACCCTGATTCGAAGCTTTCCATCTCATACCATCCTCCACCTCATGCCTTAATAATGGCCCATTGCCCAGTAGGACTTGCAAATTTTGGACTTCCTCCTCTTCCCAAGCCAACAGAGGTCTCCTAAAGGTTAAGTTCCAGTTGGGGTAGCTACTTTTTCTATCCATGAAGTCTTTAAGAGAACCATCCTTATCAGAAGAAAGACAAAATAGTCTAGGAAAGAGGGATTGAAGACAGTCACCACGTAGCCAACCATCCTTCCAGAATGAGATATTGGCCCCATTACCAACAACCAATTCTGAGTTAACCAAGAAATAGTTGAGTAAGGTAGGGTTATCAGCAGCTAAACCCATAATGTCCTTCCAGATCCAAGAGCAATTAGTAATAGTACCTTGAGAGTGAAACCAACTACCGGATCTGCTGCTGTACTTGCAGCAGATCAATCTTCTCCATAGGGCTTGTTTTTCAGTGACACTGATTCTGAGGCAGAGGAGGCCGAGGTGCAAGAGCAGCCAGGCAATGCTGAGCCCGGTGTCGAAGACGTCAGTCCTACCATCAACCTGGATGCTGGCGAGGACGAGTTCACCAATCTCTCACCCCTAGTTTAGTTCTCTTGTTCTTTTTTGTATTTTTGCTTTCAACATTTTTGATGTAACCGGGCTCTGTCCCCACCTTTGTACTGAATTTCTTATCAATGAAAATTCAAATTTTTGCAAGTGTATGCACGGTTGTAATCAGTTCTGTCTTCAGCAAAACATCTCGGTATATCTCATCGTTTGAACACTTTGTCGACCGGAATACATAACACGGTCTAAGCACTTCAGCAGAACAAGACAAATTCATGAACCGAAATAGCCACTTCGGCTGTAACAAAGTCAAACAAATCAACTCTTCCAACCGGAGTACATCATCTCGGTTGGGAATCCAAAGTTGGACAAGACACCAACTCTTCCAACCGGAGCACATCATCTCGGTTGGGAATCCTAAGTTGGGCAAGACACCAACTCTTCCAACCGGAATACATCATCTCGGTTGGGAATCCTAAGTTGGACAAGACACTAACTCTTCCAACCGGAGTACATCATCTCGGTTGGGAATCCTAAGTTGGGCAAGATAC